CATAAACTTATCTATTTGTAAAAGATAAAAGCTTTTTTTCATTGAATTATTATGGGGACCCACCAAAAAAAAATTAAGAGTAAAAGTGATCCATGTGTAAAAAAACAGTTGATAACCACTGATCTATATAATCAATGGTGAAGTGTGGGGTTAAGTGCCTTGACAAGGAAGGAGATTGTTTAAAAATATTTTTTTATGTAAAATAAATGTTGATTTCTTTTTTTTATTAGCCTAGATTAGATTTAATGATTTACTGTCATGTCACAAGCCTATGTTTATTTGGATCATAGAAGCATGACAAGCACTGAAGCCATAGCAGCAGAGGTGTGTCTAGGGCAAGACAGCCTATCCTTCATCAGGGTTGTTTTGATTTCAGATTTTTCCTTTTAGCTGCCACCTTAAGGCAACAAAGCCAAGTCAGTACTTCAATTTAATCCATAGCTAGGGAGAGAAGAGTTGGATTCATGCCTTTCACAATGATATTGGCATGAGAGTGGACATAACAAACGTGGCTAGAATTCAAACTCTGGTTGCAGATTTCTCTTTCAAAGTTACTAACCATGACACGACCCATATATGCATGTATTGACTTTAAATGCATATAATCAATAATCTTCTTTATTAGTATTTATATAAGAAACTGTTTGATCTTTTGTAATTATTAAATCTTTCTATTAAATACGATCTTCTGTTGAATAAAATCTAATTTTACAGTTACTTTTTATAATCTAACTGCTAATCTTTTTATACATCTTCTATAAGCGATCATAGCTCTCCCCAATTTCCTGTTCTCTATAGTAACAGCTCTTAGTAGAAGCTTATGAAGCTTTATTTGACTCGTTCTCCTTTAGTGCTTAAAATGTTTATTTTATTGTGATGGATGGTTACAAGTGAGAGGGGAGATGAGATGTGCTTATTTTATTACTATAGTAGCATTTAGTAAATTTTGATTATCTATCTTTGTCTCTCTTTTACCAGCCATTTACACAAGCTCCATTAGGTAAGTTATACATTGCTTTCCTCCGTCATGTTTGCCTATCCCATGAGTGCCAAATTTTCTCTCCTTCTTCATTATGTTCCCTAGAAATTTTAGTTATCTTTTTCTAATGTTAAGTAAAGTGTCCTTTTGGTTTTTAATGGTTCAACTGGTTGACTGATCTGTCCTTTATTGCTGTTTGGGACATAAGTTATAATCATCATCATCATCAGTGTTCTCATCATCATCATTATCATTGTTATTAAGGTGTCTATAAAGAAATTAATTAAAATCTGGTTACAATTAAATTAAACCTGAGACACTTTTCTCTTTGCTATACACTCATATACATTGGTTCTGTATACACTCATATATATTGGTTCTGTTTTGTATATATATATATATATATATATATATATATATATATATATATATAAGAGAGAGAGAGAGAGAGAGAGAGACTTCTTTCTGCCTTCCACCAGCATGGCTAACCTCCAGGAGAGTGACTTGTTGAACTTTCTCAGGTTAACATTCTTGGCTGACATGAAGTGGGGCTAGGTCAGCTGCTAAGAAAGTTGGTTCACTGCGTTGTGCTAGAAAATTTTTTCCCTGAAACTTTGTTGTTGCTCACATGTTCTCAGCAACTTTCTGTAGAACCACATTTCTGTTGCTTCAAGTTTTTTTCTTTGAAGAGATTGTCCAGCATTCACTGCCATCTAGGAGGACTTATATTACATAACTGTTAGTACTCTTTTCTTTGCTTTTAACAGGATTTTCCTGTTTCTTAATACTTTGCTTAGCTTTTGGAAGGCACCTTTTACTAGTCCAGTATGCCTTTGGATTTTGGTGTCATATTGTCTGTCTCCAGCCTCTGTTAAAATTCTTACTATACAGTAAGAAGAACATTCAAAAAACAGAAAAACTCTGTTAAGTAGCTAAATTTTTATGTAAACACACACTAGATTGGTATTTATATACTTATGTCTGTGTGTGGTGGAAGTAGTCTGATTCTAGACTCCTGGAAAGGAACACACTGCACGTTCTTAGCCTCACATTTTCAACTGACTTGAAGTGGAGCAACTACATTGAATCAATAACTACATTTACTGAAAGGTAATTTGGATCACTGTGTTGTGCCAGAAAGCTTTTCTCATCAGAATCCATCATGCACATTTACAAATCTACCATTCATCCATGCCTTGAATACTGTTGCCATATCTGGTCTGGTGTTCCTGCTATTCATCTTGAGGTTCTTGACAGGATCCAAAGAATGATCTGTAATGTAATCAATCCTGACTTGGTATATCAACTCCAGTCACTTTCTAACCGACGTGTTGTGGTTTTCCATCTGTTTTTTCTACAAATAATTTCATGCAACTATTCTGACAAGCTTTTTTTACCCTGCGGCCCCAATTACATGAGTTTAAGTGTGATACTAGATTGGCATCTAGGTCTCACTCATTTACTGTTGAAATACCTAAATGCAACTGCCACTTCTGTACCAACAGGTTCTTTTCTCACACTTCATGCCTGTGGAACTTCCTTCTGCTTATTTACTTCCCTAATAACTACAATATTCAAAAATTTAAATGCAATGTCAATCACCATCATCTATATTATTGAATCCCATTGATCTTTTGTCCTTTCCTCAATCCTCCCTATACTCAGTCTTTTCTCTCATTTCCCTTTGTGTATTAGCGGCATTCCCACCTTGTTTGGGAGTGAAATGATTTTAAAAAAATACTCTGAAAAACATACGGTAATTAGTATGTGAGAAAAGTGTGATTGAATTTGTGAATTTGTCATGAAAGTGTCATCAGGACATTACTTATCTGTGATATATTCACTGCATTATCTTCACTTTCATATACAACTGTGCATCTTCAGTTATTTTCTTTTGTAAAATTTATATTTTATTTACCATTTATGATCATTGTTTACATGTGGACTAATATCGTCAACTTTATTGTTATTATCACAGTGTTTCAGCCCTTGCACCTTCTGGCCTTATTCGGATGTTTGTAGATCTGGGTAACCTTCAGGAATTTTTAAAGTCAACCCTTTATTTAATTTACAGGGGTAGATTGTTCTCATTCTGCAATACATGTCTAGGAATATCTCATCATGTTCTTTTAGCATTTGCTCTTCTAGTTTCCTCTGAATCTGTACTACCTTGCCCATGGATTGAACTCATAGTTACTATGCTGCTAAATTTATGAACCAATGCTCTAATCCACTAGGGTTTTATACTTTGTTTTTTATCTGAGAGAGAGAGAGAGAGAGAGAGAGAGAGCTCTTTCTGCCTTCCACCAGCATGGCTAACCTCCAGGAGAGTGACTTGTTGAACCTTCTCAGGTTAACATTCTCAGCTGACATGAAGTGGAAAGACTACATTGAATCCATTGCTAGGTCAGCTGCTAAGAAAGTTGGTTCACTGTGTTGTGCTAGAACATTTTTTCTCCAGAATCTATTTTATATATCTTTAAGTCTACCATTTGCCCATGCTTCGAATATTGCTGCCACATGGTCTGGTGCTCCTGCTATATATTTAGAGGTTCTTGATAAAATCCAAAGAAGAATGGAATACTGCTGCTATATATAGTCTGGAACCCCATCATCTCAAGGTCCTCAGCTAAATCCAGAGATAGATATATAATGTGATTGGTCCTCATCTGGCATCTCATCTACAGTTACTTTCTCACAGATGTGCTGTTGCTTCCCTCTGTCATTTCTACAAATACTTTCACAGTAATTGCTCTGACAAACTACTTTCGTTGGTTCCCAAACTGCATGAATTTGAGCATACTACTAGGTTGACATCTCAGTTCCACCTTTTCACTGTCAAAACTGTTAAATGTATCTGTCTCTTCTACTCCAATAGCTTCATGTATTATACTTCCCATCTATGGAACTCCCTTCCTCTTACATGTTTCTCTGATAGCTATAATCTTCATTTATTCAAATGCAATGTCAATCAACATCTTCAGGTGCCTTGATCTAATTCCCCAGCCTTCTCTTCATCCTTTCCTCTATCATGCCTCTTTACTCTTGCTCCCACTCTCTGTAACCCCTTGCATGTGGTGAAATATTTAAAAGGAAAAAAAAAGAAGCAATATCTTAACCTGGTGTCTTGGGTTCAGTCACTTTCCCACCACTGTAAAGTAACTCCCCTGTTTTCTATAAATACTTTCATGGTAATTTTTCAGACAAGCTTTTCACTGTGGTACCTAGACTTCATAAATTTAAATGCAGTATGAGATTAACAACAAGGTTTCATCAATTTACAGTTGAATCGGCTACATGCAACCATAATTCCTATGCTAACAGTTTTTTCTATTGCACTTATCACTAGTGGAACTCTTTTCCAGTTCCATACTTTCCTTAATATTGTTTTTGTTTTCTAATTCTTTCACACCTAATAACCCCTTGTTTCTTAGTGCATCTAATGGTAAAAAATAATTTTAAAAAAAAGGGTAAAAAATAATTAAAAAAAAAAATAATAATTGCATTCAAAACTAGATAGATCTTTTGTTATATTTGTTGGATTCAGCTGGCTTCAGCTGGCTTCAGGAAATAAGATAAGTTTTTAAATTTGAATAGTACGGTCGTATATTATTGTCATTAAAAGTTTTAGTAGGGTAAACCAGAACAAAGGAAAGTAGATCTCTTAAACAGGACTGATCACTAGCTTTATCTCCACAACCATTGACCATTATGATATTTTCATTCTCCTTGTCTTTGAGCTTCAGATGTCAATAGCATACACCTTTTGATTCTTTATCTACTGTGTTACAGTCTAACCTTTACTGTCTTAGCCTTCTCAAATCAAGCATAAATTTTAGAGATCAAATTACTGAGCTGAATTTGATGAGATAAGTTTAATTTGAACTAGCCAACGAATGTTGGTCCTTCTGGTTTTAAAAGAGACCAGCTAAGACAATATTGGTGTGTTGATACAGCTGTTAAGTTTCTGTCTTGATAGATTGTTCCAGAATCTAAAGAAATCAATATTAATGGATAAATTCTAATCTGGATTGTGTGTTGCTATTATAAATTTATCTGAGGGAAACTTACGAGAAAGCAAGATGGAAGGGAGAAGATAGGGGGAAAAAGAAGATAAAATAACAGTGAAATAAGAGAAAGAAAGAAAAGAGTATAGGAAGGAGGAATGGGATATGAGAAAAAAGGGAAGAGAAAGAAGAAAAGGACAATTAGAGAAAAGGAGGGAGGAAAAAATGAATATAAGGGAAAAGGGCAAAGAGAGAAGAAAAGGAATATGAGGGAAAAGGTGAGAGAAAGAAGAAAATGAATGAGGAAAAGGGGGAGAGAAAGAAGTAAATAGATATGATAGAAAAGGGGAGAGAAAGAAGAAAAAGAATATTAGGGAAAAGGAGGGAGGAAAAAAGGAATATGAGGGAAAAGAGAAAGGGGAGAAGAAAAGGAATATTAGGGAAAAGGAAAGAGAAAGAAGAAAATTAATATGAGGGAAAGGGGAGTGAGAAGAAAAGGAATATGAGGGGAAGGAGAGAGAGAAGAAAAGGAATATGAGGGGAAGGGGAGAGAGAAGAAAAGGAATGTGATGGGAAGGGGAGAGAGAAGAAAAGGAATGTGAGGGAAAGGGGAGAGAGAAGAAAAGGAATGTGAGGGAAAGAGGAGAGAGAAGAAAAGGAATGTGAGGGAAAGGGGAGAGAAAAGAAAAGGAATGTAAGGGGAAGGGGAGAGAGAAGAAAAGGAATATGAGAAGAAAATAAATAAAAGTGGGGAAAAGGAAGAGAGAAATAAAGGAATATGAGGGGAGAGGGGAGAGAGAAGAAAATGAATGAGGCGAAAGGGGGAGAAAAGAAGAAAATGAATTCAAGAGGAAAAAAGGAGAGAAAGAGGAAAAGTGAGACAAAATATGTAAAAAAATCAATGAGTTGAATATCATAGAAAAAATGAAAGAGGAGAGAAAAGAAATTCTGCTTGATTGAGAAACATGGCAGAGTGTAAAGCAAACAAGCAAGAAAGGAGAGGAAAAAAGATATGGAAGTTGAAAGCTTGGAGAAAATAGAAATTGATGTATAGGAAAAGAAAAAGTAAAAAAAAAAAAACTGTGATGGCTTATTTATTGCTGTTAAGTGTTTCATTTACCACTGACCAACCACAGTGTATATGCTTGTATGCTTTGATACATTCCATCTTAGACTAAGGATGTAATATTACCAGCTGGGAGGCAGTCACACATGACAGATTTTTTTCCAGTCAAATAATCAGAATTAATATTGCAATCTGGTGAAGGACAAAAAAGTCTGAAGCCAAAAGAAAGAAGCAACTGTTTCCTAAGACTTTTTTCTTTTCCTGCCTTTGTCACAATGTTCAGAGGACATTTCTGCCTTTGCTCAATAAATAAATTGCAAATTGTTGCAGGCTGGACTTAAAATGAAACACTGGTGCCATGTGTCTGCTGGAAAATTAACAAAGAAATCGCATTCAAGGCAGAAATGTATAAGCCAAGCAAACAGGCCAAATGAGAAGGGATTTCTTTGTATTTATTTTTTGGTTTAGTGGGGGTGTAATTACTTATATTATTACTCATAAAAATTTATTTTTCCTTTACATTTTATCATCCTATTTCTTTGGATATTAAATCTTGGTAGTGACATTTGTATGCATATCATAGACACACACAGTGTTAAATTAAACCTGTCTGTATGAGTAGTTGGCAACTAAATTGGCTCCCTCACCAGACCAGAGTCTGGTGAGGAAGGTAGGTGGAACTCCAGCAGCACAAAATAGAGCTATTAAAAGGTGGATGATCTCCTCAGAGTCAACAGCCATCCACCCCAACTATGAGTTAAATAGCCTTACCAACCTGCAATTGACCAAGTGCAGTGAGCATAGCTACACCCTTGGAGGCAGGGTCCCTCTAAATGGATTGGGTAGGCTCTGAATTTGGATTTGAATATCTATCTATCTATCTACCGGCCAGTTAATGATATTTGAGGAATAAAAAAACAATGGAATGATAACAATATTGGCAATAAGATTGATGATATTTATTATATGTTAGTAGGCCTTTTGACTAAACCAAACTGTGAAGAGAAAGATTTTAAAGTTCAGTGAGATGAGAAATAAACAAAGAATTGATAACATCAGATGCATGCTTTTAGCATCTTCATTTAAGAGCCAACAAGAAAGATGCAGATCGGAGTTGAAATACATTTTCAAAATAGTATCACATATTAAAGGATTAAACAAGATTTGGGTTTATTCAGAGAATATAGTTACCACAGAGAGCTCTCTAACAACATTTTCTTTGTTTATTTCTTATCTCATTGAAAAAAAGATACAGGTATGTCCCAAAATTCAGACATTAAAATCTTTGTGCTTCAATTTAGTCAAAAGGATAATATATAATAAACCAGCATAATAAATCTATGTAAGAAGCACAAGTAGACCATCTTTTGTTTCAAATTTATATATATATATATATACATATATATATATATATATATATATATATATATATATATATTCAGCCAGGTTTTGATCCTAGCTAGAGGCAACCAAACATCTAGCCACACTGATGAGCTGTGATACAACAAAACAGTCTGTCTGTGGATGACAATATATATGCTCCTGAAAAATTTCTTTCAGTTGAGCTCTCTGGGGAGGGAAGTGGGAGTTTGCAAACAGTGACTATTACTGCTAATAATGCAAGACTCTTTGGTAAAATAAATTGAGTTCTTTCATTCACTGTGTGTTTATCTAAAAATAAATACACTTAAATCCACCTTCATCTCTGCCATGTGCTAACAACTTAGGGGTAGAATCTCTGACTGATGCCAATTCATTTCCTTTTTTTTTGATTCAGTTAGGTTTTGATCCTAGACAGAGCTAGAGGCAACTGAATGTCTAGCCACACTAATGAGCTGTGATACAGCAAAACAGTCTGTCTGTCAATGATTATACATACATATATATATATATATATATATATATATATATATATATATATATACTATTATGCTCTATCCCTGATATTGAGCACTTATCTAATAAATATAGAATAACTTAAAACTATATTTTTATCATATATATATACATATATGAGAAAATAATATATAAACTTATGAGAAAGCAAAATAATATATGAAAATAATAAATAACTAATAAATATAGAATAACTTAAAACTCAGAGAATATTAACATGAAGGAGCACTCATTTTAAGTCAAACAGTGCATGCTTCTGAAAGCCAGAAAGGATTTCTTGGTATCTTCTATCAAGTATCTACCATTATCATCACATGTAAATGTAACTGTAATGTTGTGGTGTAATGGATATTGGTTCGGAGTGAGAATTCCAAATTCCAGTCAAGTTTGTTAGATTCACTTACGCACAAATAGCTTAGGTATGAATCCATCTCTTCTCCCCAAAGCTATGGGTTGAATAGCAGGACAGACTAGGTTCTTTAGCATTGGTTGGCAACCAGTCTAGTGCAGAAAGAAATGGAATTCTACTGTGGGAAAAAATCTACCTTGTCGGTCATCAAAAGATCACCCAAGCCTGACTGAATGTCAATTGATTTTTATACTTAGCATCTCCAGACAGCCCCTTAGAAGAATGCAGGGCAATAGATGTTGGAATGTCCCACAGAAACCATGTGACCCTAAAGGAGTAAAATTAGGTGAATTTATAGTAATTTTTTTAAGCTTATGCTAACTTGAACAAGTAAAATGAAAGCTCAGTTGCTTGAAAAATACAATGAAACTGAGCTGAAACTCTCTGTCCAAGTTCACTCTACTCACTTTGTTCAATTTGGAATTTATCAAATCAAGTTTGGTGATGAATTCGCAAAGAATTTTTATATTCAGAAGCATGTTAATACCCTTCTTACTACACAAAGTCTAAATTTTAATGAAGGATGGCATTTCAATTTCCTGTTACACATACTTGTCTTACTGATATCATGCTGTCATCGGCACACACTAATCTTGAGAGTGAAATGCTTTCTCTTTTATGGCAGATCTGTAAAGAGGACCTTCTTGCTCATCTTTACAGATATGGCATAAACCAGAGACACCCCCTCAAATGATTATCAGAACGTATTTACATGATTTATATTTGGAATATTGTCTTCACCTTTGTTGTTGTCATAACAATGCTTCAGCCATTGTGCCCTCTTGTGTATATCACCTGATTTACACTTACATATAATGGTTTTTTGCTATGTGGAGGCAAACTGGAACAGCTTTCAGTCCTATATGACTGAATGCATCCTTCTGTAATGGAGTGTTTTATCCTTACACCACCCCAAAAAAAAATCAAGCAAAAACCAGTCAGTCCTGGTTCACCCTGAAAGTGCTGCAGCCATAACTGATCAGAACCACTATTTCAAAATTTATCCCAAGGAGTGATATAGTTTGGCTGTTACTTCTTTCAGAACTACCTGCAATCACTGTAAAAGAACCCTGAAAAATGCAAAGTGCAGCTATGTGTGATCAGGCCAAGGTTGAAAATAAACAAATTGGGTCTCATGAATTCTGGAAAATCACCAACCAAATTATGAACAGAGGCAAAACAACTGCGCCCACTATTATAAATGGCCATGAGGTCATATCCTCCTCAACAGACAAGGCAAAGCTCTTTGCTTGAAACTCAACATTAGATAACAAAGGTCATCCCCTCCTCAACTTTCCACATCTCACTGAGCACAATCTCAGTAATATACTCATTTCAGCAAGAGAAATCTCTAGACTTACCAAAAACCTTGACCCCAAAAAAGCAACTGGCTCAGAAAAAATTCCAGTAGTTGTCCTTAAGAATATCAACCCAGAATTATCCCCAATTCTAGAAAAGTTATTGAACCGCTACTTGAAGGAGAAATCTTTCCCAAGTATATGCCCAGTCTTCAAGAACATAAGAAACCGATCCTTCCTCTCCCAGTATTGACCCATTAGTCCCCTCAGTATCATAAGCTTTTTGAGGATTTAATCAACAAGGTTGCTAAGCAACTGGATAGGAACAACTGCAGTATGGGTTTTGATCAGCCAGATCTACTGCTCTCATCCTAATCTACAGGGAATTCTGAACTGACCCCTTTAGACTGTTCTTGTTCCACATGTCTAGGAATACTGTCTAGCTCTTATTTTTAGTACTGCTCAGTTATTGCTTGCCCATTTCCTTTAAGTCCAAGTAAACACTACCCAATCCAGGGATTGAACTGACAATCACTATGTCACTAAAATTAACAAACTAAAGTTTTAATCCACTAGTCTATTTTTCTGTAGGATTTTCAGAATAGTTGCAATAAGATAGGCCTCTTGTATACAACATAGTTCCAGACTGAGGTGCTGATGGTCACAAATGAATGTAGATGTTTTAAATTCTAATCTCAGCATATAGCCATTCAAACTAGCCAATCAGAGTGTCATGTTCTGTTTATTGTCATTGGTCAATTGAAGAAAACATGTCAGGTGTAAAGATGCTGATCACTTGTTGCATTGATCTTTGATCCATCTCAGTTTTGTCTTAGTAATTTTAGTTTTACAAAAGGAAGGGTGAATAAATACTGATGCCCTTCCTAAACTGTTTGAGTTTATCAGATATATAATCAGCCAGTAGAGATGATATTCCAAAGCCTTATTTGTCTCCTTCAGGATTGACCAGATCTGGTGTATGGCTAGACCAAATCTGATACTGTCATCTAATTTTTGTTGGGTTCTCCACATTTTTGTGATCTGGATCCATAGTTCTAAAGTTGGGAACGATCCTTAAATCTTTCTGGTATTGCAACTGCAGATTGTTCCTCTCCAATATGTCTGGGTCCGCACAGCACAAATATACCCCCGTTACCAGTGTAATATTTTCATTAGTTTATGTTGTTGTTATCGGTCTTTTTTTTTAAAGGGGTCCCTTTCCTTCTGAACCTTCAAATGGAGGATCTCTGCTGTCTTTTATCATTCTTTGGAGTGAGGTTAAAAGAAAGGTAAAATCTTTTGACTGAAAGATGATTTTGAAATATTTGATGTCTGTGTAAGGAATGGATTATAATGGGGAGACAGTGTGTGGAATGTTTTTGGTGTAGGTGTCATATTGGTAGTATTAGTAATAGCAGTCATGTGCTGGTGGTATAACATATTGATGTGGGAAATGGAATCAGCAAACCAAGTTCAAATTCTGGGCTAGTCTGCTGCAT